CTCTTGTAGAGATGCGATATCTCCTTAAGGGTTTGAGATAGTAAAAAGAGTATCATTAATGTGTAATAATTCAATATTACGTTGTAATTTCGTTAGCATATGGAAGATCTCCTTGGAGATCTCTGAGATCCCCGATTTCTTAGATCTGTGACACCACTTCTTCACTGATTGGTGTAATTCACATGCACAACATGGCATGAGGGTGAGGGCGCTGTGATTGATGCGATTAAACTAGACAAGTACCTCATCGACTCCTAGTGTTGCCTCTCTACGTGGTAACCTGAATTTGATCGAAAAATAAAAATATCGAAACAGAAAATAAAGGTAGATGGCAAAGAACAAGGCTGAGGGTGAGGGCAGAGAGATCTCTACTTTCGTCTACTATCATTTTCAGCACTTCTATCTTTCGACATATATGTTATTTTTCGTTTCGACACTTCTCCTTTCGACGTTATACAGGAGCACCCACCCTGTATGGTATAAATAATCCCCTTCCAATCTTTAACTTATCTAACTTCAAAAAAAGAACATTTTTTTCGATATTTTCGCCTTTCGACATTTTTACCTTCGGCATTTTTGCTTTCGACATTTTTACTTTCGACCAAATTCAGGTGAATCTTATATATATTAATCAACTTACAAACAATGATATTCATTATTTTTCAAAATTATAACTTAATCAATTTTGCAAAAAACTCTAGAGAGCCCGACGCCTCTTATTCTCGATTCTTAAAGTGTGTAATGGAGGGTGTGTCTGTAATGAGGGGTGTCTGTAATGGGGGATGTCTGTAATGGGGGAAAGGGGAAAGGGGAGCCGCCAACCTCGCATTGAAAACTTACACTCACTATTTTCTTCGATAACATACGTGAGTTCCACAATAGACTCGAAACCAATTTCGACAAATAGTTAATACAAGAGTGTGAGGGTGAGCTGAGCTTTGAATGTGGGTGTCGGTCTTATCCTAACCACCAAGTACATCCCCTCACTCTTGTTAACCGTGATAGACCGTGGTAGAGTTCACAAATAAGTTTCTTTCAAAACATACAGGAATTTTGAATTATCTTGTACTCGTTTGCGTCATGACTCGCTACTTTACAAGGAACATATCTAATATAGAAATAATAATAGGGTGTGGCTGTGGGTGTGGGTGTGGGGTGTGGGTGTAGGTGTGGGTGTGGGGTGTGGGTGTAGGTGTGGGTGTGGGGTGTGGATGTGGGTGTAGGTGTGAGTGTGGGGTGTGAGTGTGAGTGTGGAGCGTGGATGTGGATGTGGGTGTAGGTGTGAGTGTGAGGTGTGGATGTGGGATGTGGCTGTGGGTGTAGGTGTGAGTGTGGGCATGAAAGAAAAGAAAAAACGGATCCACACCTATGTCCCACACTCACCCACACTCACCCCCACACCCCACGCCCCACACCCACACCCACACCACATCCACACTCCCACCCACATCCACACTCCCACCCACATCCCACATCCACACTCCCACCCACACCCCACATCCACACCCCACACACACCCCACATCCACACCCCACACACCCACACGCACTCCCCCATCCACACCCCACACACCCATACCCCCACTCACACATCCACACCCCACACATTCACACCCACACCCACACCTTCTTTACTATAAACTTACAATATCAATTTCTGTAAATAACATTCAAAGATTACAATATATTTTATTGCCTTACATAATAGTTATTTGAAAATGAGAATACTGAAATAAGTTTGTAGAAGATTTTTACTTTATATTCTGTTTTAATATACTAAAGAAACTTTGATGAATTAATATGTTAGTATAAAAACAAGTGGTGAATAGCGGAATCTTGGAATTCAGAATTCCCTATATTTCTAGGATTCCCTCGAATTCCACAGAATTCCACAAAATTCCGTAGAATTCCATATGATTCCATAGAATTCCTCAGGATTCCATGGAATTCCATGGCATTCCTAAGGACTCTCAGTAATCGTCGAAGAGGCTATAAAGAGCTACTATCCATGTCACAACAGCTTTTATTGTTGGCGTCTCGTTTTCCTTTTTTCTTCGTTCGTGACCATCTATATCTGTACATATTGATCTCTAGCTAACTGTATTTGGTTAGGTTCTGATTTTTAGGATTGCCTTATCTCCATCCCAAGCGCAGCAACTGAGCCTGTTTCTTCGTTAATCTATCAATAAATTCAGATCAATTTATTCTAACAGAGCTCTAAATATATTGTAGCATCAATGAGCTTCTTTATTAATGGCTAAAATTCGACATACTTTGTTACTAATGATCATCTAATTAGTGTAACAGTATTCAGAAATGTTTGAACCGTTTTTCATTCAATTTTACTTGCTTCGATAACCCATAATAATCTCTCAATCGATGGATGCTAAGATTTTTCAGTCAATAATCGTGACAGACCTAGAGATGCAACGGTGACGATTAGACCTAGGACAGTTTCCAGTTCTATGAACTGTATATTTTCTAAGAACTGAGTATAGTGACCAGTTCTTTTTCGAGAACTGGTTCTTGTAACCCGTTCTTTTTCAAAGAACTGGATTAAGCGTCCGGTTCTTTTTCAAGAACTGGCTACTGTGACCACTTTCAAAGAACTGGTTGAACAGATTAGTTCCTATCAAAGAACTTGTTGGACAGATCAGTTCCTATCAAAGAACTGTTTGAACAGTTCTCAAGAGCGGAACTGATATGGAGCTGTCCTAGGTCTAGTGACGATAACCGGTCTAATCGGTAACCGTGCTACCGGTAACCGTTTCTTACCGGTAACCGGTATTAGTCTTACACCTGTGGTATAAACCGGTATATACCGACATTAGCCTTATAATGATGGTATAAAGCATGTACTGGCATATACCGGTATAACGTTTATAGCAGCGGTATTAACCGGTATATATCAGTATTAGCCTCATACCGCCGGTATAAACCGGTATACACCCGGTATGAGCCTTATACCAACGGTATTAAGCAGATATTGATACGCACTGGTAGAAACCGGTTACCGGTGGACGGGGTCCCGGAAGAGACTGGTACCGGCGTGAACTAGTGACATGGAGACAGTGAAGCGGTGATCTACCCTCACTGTTGCATTCCTAGGCTGACCATTCCTATGAATAATTATTGAAATTATTAATTTTGAGTTTGTAATATGGGTATGATTGTGAGTACGCGTGTGCGTGCGTGTTCGCAGACAAGAGCCATATCAACACTTACACCCACCTTTACTCTGTTTGTAAACATCCACCGTACGATGTTTATTTGCAAATGATAAGCTTCTTAATTAAGAACTTAGATTCAAGATTGTTCTTTTTACTGCTTTTATATACATGAAGTTGTCCCCAAGTAGGAGCGGCATTATCGTCAATCCTTCTTTTACCATTGAAACTTTTTAAAAACTTTTTATGTATAAGAATTTCTTCTGTGGTTTTGATACTTATGAACTACATTCTGCTGTGTTGTGTGTTTACTAATTATAAACAAAAACACATACTACAAGAAATAAATTTGCCAAGTTATGATTGAAAACATGAGCTTCTGAATGCGGTATCTATGAAAAATGTTATGAGAGATGTTCTATTAACTGTTTACATATGATAAAAGATTATTCTGCAATTGGAACAAATCTAAGGACTCAAGACTTTAAAATTATATAGAATTCCCTGGAATTTCCTAGGATTCCATAAAATTCCATAGGATTTCATGGAGTTCCCTTGCATTCCATCGAATTCAAGGTTTCCGCTATTCACCCCTTGATAAAAAATCAGTTTATATCTATATATTTCTCTTGTTTGTCTATTTCAGTTTTCCTTGTACCAATCGATAATACCGACCGCCTAGTGCAACTAGTTCTTCATGAGTTCCACGTTCAACAATTATTCCATTATGCATAACACAAATCATATCTGCATTTTGAATAGTTGATAAACGATGTGCAATTGTGATTGATGTTCGATTTTCTTGAGCACGATCTAATGCTTCTTGAACTAATTTTTCACTTTCACTATCCAAAGCACTTGTTGCTAAACAAATGTATATAATAAATTGATCATAATATCAATTTTTATTTCTTCTTACCTTCATCAAGCAATATAATTTTTGGATTTCGAATTAAAGCTCTAGCAATAGCTAAAATCAAAATATAATCAATAAATGAAACGAAAAAAATTTCTCAATATTATCTAACCAATTCGTTGTTTTTGTCCACCTGATAATTGTATTCCTTTTGAACCACAATTTGTTTCATACCCCTTTGTTTTTATAAGAGAGAGTATTTTTCTATAGCTAAAGAAAAATAAACCAATTATAACTTACATTTGGAAGACCTTGAATAAAATCATGAATATTAGAATTTTTAGCTGCCCTAATTATTTCATCAAGTGGAATATCTTTTCGACTAGAATCACCATAAGCAATATTTTCACGAATTGACATATCAAAGAGAATTGGTTCTTGTGAAACAATACTAACTAATAAAAAGACAAAAAGTTTCTATATATTAGATAGAAAAGACATTTTTATACGTACTTTGTGAACGATACCATTGTAGATTAAGACTTCTTACATCTTTTGAGTCAGCTAACTACAATAGAAAAAAAAACAAATAAAAATACGAATAGAAAGAAAACTTTTTTACCAAACAACCAATATTTGGGTCATAAAATCGTTCAATTAATTGAATAGTTGTAGATTTTCCACAGCCAGATGTGCCTGTACAAAACAAAAAATTTTCGAGTGATCTATTCACAATGAACAATGAGAAAATTGTACGTACCAACAAGTGCTATTTTTTGACCTATGAGAAAATAGAAAAAGTTTAATGAATATGCGAGAAAAATGAAAAAAAGAATAGATACCAGCTTTGATATTAAGTCTAAAATTTCTAAGAATAAGTAATTCAGGTCTATTTGGATAGACAAAATCAACACCATCAAATTCGAGTTGTCCTGAGAAATTAGGCTATAAAAGGAGGAGTACAATTAAAGTGTGTATGTTGGAAATATCAATGATAATGTTCACTCACAATTTCATCGCCATCGTTTGATTCATTATTGATCATAGGTTTTCGATTTAAGAGTTCAAAAATTCTTTCAGCAGCTTCAATCGCTTTTCCATAGTCTGGAGATCTATAAAGGAAAACTTTTTTATCTTGTATATATATCATTGAAAATCTTACAGCGTAAGGGTCTGAGTTGCAATTTCAGCAGTAGCTGTGACAGAATTAAAAACCCTAGAAAGTTAATTAAAATACGTTATTTGGTGGGAAAAGAATTACAAATTGATACTGGTCTTTCGTCTTACATGTACATATCCTCAAATGTGATTATATCTTGATTAACAAGAGAAGTACCGAGCGAAATAAGAGCTGCCGACGCGAAGAGTGCACTCGAAGCTGATATTGAGAAGAGAATGCCGGAAAGATGAGCTCGTTTGATTGCTGATCTACAGAAACCTTTATTATTTGATAAATATGAAAAACAAATGAAATTTACCGATAAATAATGTTGAGTAAGTGAGAATATTCATTATAAAAATACGTTTCTTTTGTTAATTGAGCCACTATTCGAATATTTTGAATTGTTTCTACAATCACCTAAAGTATAAGAGATGTAAATTAATGAACATATTGGCTTGGTCAGAAATTTTTGTCGTTTTTTTTCGTAACTTCCTAGAACAGTCAAGAAAGTTCTAGAAGTTTCCATACTAAGGATATATAAAGGGAGTGTAAATATCTTTCGAACAACAATATAAACTATGGATATACATGCTAATCTTGAATTAGAAATGAAGATATCTCGTAGAGAGCTCCGAGTGCTTCTGCTTCATGAATTCCGTTTGGGTCACAAAACAACAGAAGCAGCAAGCAATATATGCCATACGATGGGCAAGGATGCGCTCTTCATTCGTACAGCGCAACGTTGGTTCAATCAGTTCAAGAACGGTAACTTCGAACTCGATGATTTACCTCATACTAGAAGACCACTAGAGGTGGATATGGATCTCTTAAAGGAGCTTATCGAAGAAGATCCTAGATTGACTACACGGTGTTTAGCAGAGCGTCTTGGATGCTCTCATACTACAGTGAAAACACATCTGCACGGATTAGGCAAAACGTGGAAATATGGAGTTTGGATACCACATGATTTGTCACCACATTAGCTCCAACACAGAGTTGATGCTTGTATGGAATTAATGACGTCTCATCGCAACTACCAATGGCTTTACAATCTTATTACCGGCGATGAAAAGTGGGTGTTGTATGTTAACCACACGCGCAAGCGGCAGTGGCTGGGAGCTGGACAAAAAGGTGTAGCAACACCCAAAGATGACCTTAACCAAAAGAAGATTATGCTGAGCGTTTGGTGGGGAGTAAGAGGGATTATTCATTGGGAACCTCTTCCAACTAATTGCACTATCACTGCTGATCCCTATTGCCAGCAATTAGACCGGGTTGCAGCAAAACTTCAGGGAAAGCAGGATAGAATTTATTTTTTGCATGACAATGCCAGACTCTATACTGCAAAATCGACGCGTGAAAAATTATTGGAGCTCGGATGGGTTACTGTCCACATCCATCTTATTCTCCAGACTTGGCTCCTACGGACTACCATTTGTTCCGTTCTCTTTCTAACCATTTGAAGGAGAAAAAGTTCGACGACAAAAACGACCTGGAAATGGATCACCTCAACTTTTTTGGCCAAAAGTCGCAGGACTTCTATGAACGCGGGATCCTTTCTCTATCAGAGCGTTGGCCACAAGTCATAGATAGCAATGGAGCATACATTTTTGAAAGCTAGTTGTATTCTTGATATTAAAAAAGAAAAAGAAAATTTTCAAAAAAAAAACGACAAAAATTTCTTACCAACCCAATAAATTAAATTTTTTAATCATTGAAGATGAAAACTTTATTTGTAGTTTAAGTAACTCAGATATATCAAAACCTAAATTGTTAATGAGTGTATACATGTATTTCAAGTCATTATCATTCTCAATGATATAGGTGATATGAAAATTAATGAAGTATATGGAGAAATTTAGAGGCATTTTATGAAGTGATGGATTTGTAAAAATTGTATATATTTTATAAAATATCCATTTAGTTATTACTAGGCATGCATCAAACCCAAACAGTTTGGGTTTGGTGAGTTTGGGTATTGAGTTTGGGTTTGGGTATTCAGTGTGGCTTTCAGTTCCAGTTTGCTATATCAACTCACTGAACTACTAGACTTTGTAAGTAGTGCTATTTATGTCAAATTTCTTCTCTATATTTAACTATTTATTCTGTGCAAATATAAGCAAAAGCATATTTCTATGCTTCACATTGTTAAACAGTGACATAAAGTCGTTCTCAATCCCAAATAGATTGCTTGAAGAATGGATATTTTTGATCGGTTTGCCTACGGTCTGATTGATGGAGAATCGAAATCACATTTCTCAGTTAGAGAAGCGATTGTTCAATGTTCTGTGATACTCAAATATTGGTTTTTGGGGAGGGAATAAGGAACCCGAATTCGAGCTCTATTTTCTTGAGACTGAAGGGTGGCCTACAATGAATGAGAATCTTCGCCTTTTTGCAATATCTTCTTTAATTTTCATCGTTTTGGACTGAATATTTTCTGAGCCGTGCAGCATTTGATTCTTTAACAAACCGCATACATATGGATGTCACAGGAGTAAAAGCAAAAAGCGATATTTTAGAAGTGCCGCAAACATTCAATTTCAATAACGTTGAAGCTTGAAATGCAGCTCGCTTGTGTTTATGGGTTGCCATATCAAGCTGGATTAACAAATTGTACTGTCTATTGTGTGACATTGGCATGAATTTTGGAAGAAAATAGTGAGTGAAAGTTTCAAACCAAGTTGTTCCGGCTTCCATCTCCTCCCCATCATAGGCCAAGGCCAGGCATGCCCATATTATAGACTTTAGTAACCGGGGTTAAACACTGAGTATTTGCCAGTCTTATTAGTCATATAATCCAATGCTTATAATCAAGTCAGAATAATGAAGTTAAAGAAGATATAAACGCCAAGTCTTTTTGAAAATTTTGCATCCACAACTATCAAAAACAAAGAGATATTGAGGAAATACTGCGAAGGACTTTATTCTGGTCGGTCCTCTGGAAGTGCTTTTGCAATTAGTTGGTATTTCACGTCTGTAATATTACAACAATAACGTCTTTTATGTTATTTCTATGAAACACATCTTTTTATGACTTCGTGCACAATGAAATGCTCTGTTTTTTGTAAGAAAACCCCATCCGAATCCATGAGAACTAGAGAAGATACGAAGAAAATACGGAAACACTCATGTTTTCATGAGTCAATTTTAGATCAGCGAGCTCTAAAAACAACAGAAACGCATTTTCGAAAAGCGGTTTCGTAGGATTTAAACCCAAACCAACAATGTGCATAGTTAGTAGCTGTGATGCAACCATACATACACACCCACATTGCTATGCTTATTCACGCTTCCCGACATCCGTATTAACACGTCCATTGGCTGAACTTCCAAGATTCACCAACTTCATAGATTCATAGCTACATAGCCAACGACTCTGAGTGATCGAACAATATATGTAAAAGACCTCAAAGTTACTGAGTCAGAGACCTATAAAAGCTCATTGCTTGATCTTAATCAAAGAATCAGAGCTCAGTAAAATATATCAGCATGTGAAAACTCAACCTTTCGAGATAGAGAATTGTGTTCCAAGGCACACAGACTGCAAATTGAAACATCCATTTTCTGACTATCTATTCATGGAGCTTTGCACCCGAAGTGAGAGATTTTAATTCCAATATAATTCATTTCTTAGCGATATCAGTTTTTAATCTCTGTTTGTCGCGACAATATGTCAAATATATACATAGCGATTATATAGAAAAATCCCATAGATTGTGAGGAAGAAAGAGAGATTCGTAAAACAAAGCTAAACTTAGAAGATCAAAAGTGGGGGGAGGGGGCACGTCCATCGTGTAAACGTATAAGTGAAAGGAAAAATACCATCACATATACGAATCTGACTGGAAAGAAAAACCTGTGATGCACGACTAACGACAAGAGAAGAGGAGAAAAATTAAAGTGTATTTGTATGATCATAAACAGAAAAACTCCTTATGACTACATCTGCAAAAGGTTTAGCATCTAACATGAAGTTCCATATCTACTGGCGCATGACTCCATCAAAGTATTTTTATGGCTGTATAGCTGTGATTCAAATCGTCGTCTCAAACTACCCTAGAAGAAGAAGACGAAAAAGAATAACTTGTCTTTCAGTTGCTTTGCAAAAAAGGATACTGTCTTAAGACAGTTTCGAAGGTCCGATATTCTTCCTACAACTATTATTAGCTATAGATCTGGATAGACAGCCGGCATGGCTCAGAGTTCCTTCCGTTTAATTCTTGAAACTCGCCGTGCATGTTGGCTAACCACATGGTAGCTACAAGGGTTTTTGTGTGTGTGCCAATTACGTAGTTAGAGTCCTGCCACATATTCAGGAAATCTAGGATACTGGAGAAGTGTAGGGAGATGCAAGCGGTACCAAACTATCTACTTATAGACGATTACATTATGTGTGTTTTCTTGTGGGTTCATGTTTTCTTCCACACCCACAATAATGAGATGGAGCTGTATTTATTTCCGTGTGTCCTCGCGTTTTGACCCTCATCCACACTCGTGAGATGTCGCTCTGTGTGTCCGTATGTGCTCGTATTTCCTACTTTATCGTCTCTGTAAAGATATGTTTAGAGATGCCGAATCTCTTGGGGAGATGTGCTTGGAGATGCGGCATCTCCTGCGGTCTGTGGATCTCCTGCTGGAATCTCAGGCTGAAAATAAAATAAAACATTTTCATCCGGAGATACGTTATCTTCTGGAGAGACGCTGCATCTCCAAGCACTTCTCCCCAGGAGATTCGGCATCTATCAAGGAGACTCGGTATCTAAAGAAGATGCAGCATCTCTCTCATTTTCCTGCATTTGCTCAGCATACCCAATTTCCTGGGTGTATGACACTGCTGCGTAGTCGGTGAACCATCGAATGGCAAACTACTCTACAGAGAGTATCTCTCCAAAACGTTAATTTCTGTTAGCTCCTGATCTATCAACGTACTTTGGAGCGAAATGAGCTTCGGTTTTGGGTTCCTCCCTCTAAAAACCACCCATGTAAAAGAAAAGTGAACCAAAAGTCACTTTTTATCACTTTTAATAGTAATAAAGTAAAACAAAGTAATTTTTCTTACTATTTTTCACTTTTTATAGTACTTTTTGATAATTTTTCCACTTTCTGTAGTACTTCCTCATACTTTTCCTGCTTTCAAAAGTACTTAACAGTACTTTTTAGTCAAAAAGTATGAAAAGTACTTTTAAAAAGGTTTACTTATAAGTACTTTGTCCTGCTTAAAACCTACTATTGAAAGTACTTAATAGTGACCTTTTTGGGTAAAAGTTTTTACATGGGCAATATTTGAGTATCACAGAACATTGAACAATCGCTTCTCTAACTGAGAAATGTGATTTCGATTCTCCATCAATCAGACCGTAGGCAAACCGATCAAAAATATCCATTCTTCAAGCAATCTATTTGGGATTGAGAACGACTTTATGTCACTGTTTAACAATGTGAAGCATAGAAATATGCTTTTGCTTATATTTATACAGAATAAATAGTTAAATATAGAGAAGAGACTTGATATAAATAGCACTACTTACAAAGTCCAGTAGTTCAGTGAGTTGATATAGCAAACTGGAACTGAAAGCCACACTAAATACCCAAACCCAAACCCAAACTCAATACCCAAACTCACCAAACCCAAACCTAAACTTCCAAACGGTTTGGGTTTGGTGCATGCCTAGTTTTTACGTTGATAGAATTTAATATTCTAAGTCTTTGAACGAAACATTCATATATCTAAGCTTTACTTTTCCCATTATACACGTTCGAAAGAACAAAATATCGGATTTCTCTCTAAGGCACTACACTGATTTTTAAGATATACGTAAATGTCTTTCATAACATAATAGTTTTTAGATATTGAACATTCTCATATATCGGGAAACTTGACGAAATACATCCACAATCATTAATTGCTTACATGTTTAATCTCATCAACTTATAAACTATTCTCAAACCTTCCCAGCATCTTCTATAAATTCTTTGTCTTTGCTTTCAAATGCAGCTGTCACACGAATCTGTAAATAGGCTCCAAATATCATCAACGGAAGGAAAGCGATCGTAAGCAACGTCAATTGCCAGGAAAATACGAATCCAATAATGATACCCATGCCTATTGACACAAAATTTTGACAAAAGAAACCAAAACGAATACCGCTTGCGCCTTGTACAGCTGATGCTTCAGTTGCTAAGCGTGTACATAATACACCTGTATTATGTCTTGCTTGATCAAAATAATTAATTTCTTGACGAAGAATAGCACGAAAAGCTTCTGAGCGAAGTCGTTTGGTGAGAGTTTCACCAGAATAAGCAAACATACAACTCTGAAAAGAAAATGTATGTAAAAACTTATTATACAAACTATCGAAATACATACTTGAAGTGTTTGAGATATTAGACCTACAATTCCCAAACCAATATGAAGTAAAGCATAGAGAATAATTTTTTGATTTCGAGCATCTTTATCACAGCTTTGAAAGACCTTTCAAATGAATAATGTTTTAAAAGTTAAGCACTACTCAAGCATTTACCACTGTCATTTTGGTCCGAATGATAGAAAACGATGGTTCTAGTGCTCCAGTGAATAAAGCTGCTATACATCCGATTACAATCAGTATCCACTCTGGTTTATTTATTCGTAATATAGCCAATGTTATGTTTTGGTTTCTCTCCTATGGTAATTATATTCAGTACAAATATTTAACCATTTCTCATTACCTTTTTTGTTTTGATCTTTTCATCATCGTTTTCTTCCAGATCTTCACCTATTCTGGAATTTTTCTTTTCATACAATACATCCAATGTTGATGGAGTAATACTAACTAATGTTGAGCTGCAATTTCTTTTAATATTCGAATTATCTAAACATAGTTGATCAGAAAGAAGTATCTTTGCAGCTTGTTGTTGTTCAAATTCTAGTTCTTCTTCTTCTTCAGCTTGATGTAAACTTTGTTGTTCAATAAGAGTAAAGTATGTACCACGAATGCTCATTAAAGAATCATGATCACCTTCTTCAACAATTTCTCCCTTTTGCATCACAATGATTTTGTCAGCATTACGAATCGTTGATAAACGATGTGCAATTACTAATGTTGTTCGACCTATTGATAAAAAAAAAAAAATCATAAAACAGTAGTTGTATTTAATATAACGCACCTTTAGCAGTACGATATAAAGCGTCCTGTACTATCTTTTCACTTTCATTATCAAGTGCACTAGTAGCTATTGAACAAGGAAGAAGATAATAGAACAATCAAGAGAAAATGAAAATAGAGACAAAATTTTACCTTCATCAAGAAGTAAAATTTTCGGATTTCGAATAAGTGCTCGAGCGATAGCTAAAAATTCAATAATAAAATCACAGATATAAGTTATGTTTTCACAAACCAATTCTTTGCTTTTGTCCACCGGATAATGCAGCTCCACGTTCACCTACTTGGGTTTCATATTTCTACGCAAAATATTATTGCTAATAATGTAAGACAAAACAAATAGATTTCATACTCACATCAGGTAGAGTCATGATAAAATCATGTGCATTAGCCATCTTGGCTGCTTCATGTATTTCTTCATCAGTAGCTGAATCACGTCCAAATAGAATATTTTCACGAATAGTTGCATGAAATAAAATAGGTTCTTGACTAACAACACCAATATGTTGTCGTAACCATTTCAAATTGTATTCATTAATTTGTTTTTCATCAATGAATATTGATCCTGAATCTTGATCATAGAATCGTTGTAATAATTGTATACATGTTGATTTTCCAGAACCAGATGAACCAATAAGAGCAACAGTCTGACCACGCTTGACATCGAATGATAGATTAGTAAGAACTTTAACATCTCGTCGTGATGGATAAGAGAAATGCACATTTGAAAAACGAATATCACCAATGAGATCATCTTTTTTGAGACCTGTCTCTGAATCACTATTAATTGTTGACGGCTATAAATTAAGAAAAAATGAAGCAATATAATATGTGTATACATATGAAACAAGAATGTTTATTTACTTCGTCGATGACTTCCTGTACAGTGTAAGCAGCAACTTGAGCTTGAATTAATGCTTGAAATTGTGGACTAATATGTTCCAAACTGTAAACAGAGCTGGAAACGGCCAGAAAAACCTAAAAATATATGTTATGTATCAGTAATTGGAAGAAAATTGATCGGGTATAATAATAGAATTAACATGTTTTTAAATTTGAAACAAACGAAAGAAATGCTAGGTAATTAATAGCCGTTGTTTTTTGAAACATGATCTAAAAGAAGTGTTGAAGCATAGGCGAAGAAATTTGGACCACCATAGTGGACGGTATACGAAAGCCAGGCGACAAAAAAATTTTCAATTTTTGTGAAATTTTTAGAGAAATCTCTTTTATCATAAAAAGCGCATATACCATTTTGATGTGCTTTCATATAAAATAATACTTGAGCTATTCACATGTCGTACCTATTAAAAAATTAAAATACAAGGAAAAAATTTTTGCCGCTTGCCTGTCTATTGTACCGTGTCTCTCTCTCCTACCCAGACCGTGACAGACATTACCATGGAAGCGCTATAGACCGTGAAAAAAGTGACTCATGTACCATTACACACACCTTAGCAACGCATCTTTCCGTCGTCATAGACCGCGACAGGCATAGTCACGAAACAGAATTTTATTACGAAAGTACTGTAAAACACGGGTGCATTTAAGATATCTGTCTTTCTCCCTCTTTTCACAGCCATTGTAACATATTATTATCAACATCTTTCATCATGAATGCATATTTATAATATGCAGGAATTCAAAAATTGAAATATATGTTGCTGAATTCCCTAATTTACAGTATAAGCAGCTCTATCGTGTTTCGAATTATAATTCTGCAGGAACAGCGTCGACAGTTATTTTACTTTTTTCATTTTATCTTATTTTAATAATTGAGATTTCATCGATATTCTATGACTTACAAATATAGAAACGTAGCAATCCTTCGTCATATGCGTTGTAACTAAACTTACGTTAGTTTCATATTAATTCCAATGTTGAGAACTGTTTAAAAGTTCTTTTGAAAGGAACTGATCTATACCAATAGTTCTTTTCATACGAACTGATCTGTTCCGACAGTTCTTTCATATAGGACCTGATCTGCTTCACCAGTTCTCTGGAATGGAATTGAACTGTCCCAAAACATTTTGTTTCCGTAAACAGAACAAAACTGTTCTATTATTGGAGAAATTTTCCAGCAACAGAACAATTTGGCTCTGTTTGTAGAAACAAAATTTTTTTTAGGACACTTCAGTTCCGTTTAATGGAATTGTCGCAACTATTCTTTGGAAAGGAGCTGATCTGTTTCCACAGTTCTTTTGAGTAATTTAACTAAACTTATGAGCTTGGACCGTTATAGTTCTAGCTCTAATTAATGTAATCCAATAAAATGAGAGATAATTGATAAAATATCGAGAAATATCATATATAGAGAAATAAAGTATGTATCCCTATCAGTTACTTTTTTCATTACTCGATTCTACGAGATTAGCAAGCAGTCGTTTTCAAAGAGCGTCAAATGTCTCTTTTTTAATGACTGGACTCGACTCGACATATTCCCAGGTCGAAGATTCCGACCACCGGATCCCGCAAGATCCTGCAGGAAAGATGCGGGTAAATTCACTGTATCCTGCGGAAAAACACCGGAAGCCACTGGAACAGGGTGGCAATATTCCGGTCGGAAAATTTTTGGATTTTTTCCGGTGGCTTCCGGTCAATTTCCTCGCGTTTTCTGCAGGAAATTATCCAGAATTCATCGGAAAAAATCCGAAAATTTTCCGGCCGGAATACTGCCACCATGTTCCGGCGACCTCCTGTGTTTTCCTACCGGAACTCGCCCGTACTTCTCGACCTGGGTTGCTTCTCTCAGCTCTATCCGACTCGAGGTCGAATGATTTTTTCTAAGCTGACCGATTTGTGTCGGTCTTTGATCATTTTGTCGGGCACACTTGATCGATATTGCAGATAACAGGTGGACCATAATAAATGTCCCAATTTTGCATTTTATTTTTCCACAACTTAATACGTTGTATTAGAAAAACAAAATATACCACAGGATGCAGCGTAAAAAGCTCTACAATTTATACAAGGCAGCTTTTCCTACAGTTACACTTTTTGCTTTCAAAACCGATAAAATATAGAGCGATCAAATTTTGACTGTGCGGAAATGATTTTTTTTTTTGGTAAAAGATGAATTCGTTCTTTCTTGTTTCATCTTTTTATTACCTGATATCTTCTATTTAAAAAGAAAACAAAACATACCATTAGATGCAACAGGAAAAGCTCTACAATTTATACAAGACAGCTATTCTTACAGTTGTACTTTTTGTTTTCAAAGCTATCAAAAATTCTGAGCGATTAGATTTTGATGCTGCAAAAAAGTCATTTTTCAATACACAACCAATTTGTTTTTTTCTTACTTATTATCTGATGTGTTTTATTAAAAAGAAACAAAATACATCACAAGATGCAGCTTGACAAGCTCTACAATTTATAGAAGACCGCCTTTTTATAGGTACACTTTTTGTTTTCAAAGTCAGCTAAGCAATCAAATTTTGACCACGCGAAAACAGTATTTTTTTTTCTACGAGATAGATTGTTTTTTTCTTATTTCATCTTTTTATCACCTGATATCTCTTATTAAAAAAATAGCAAAATATATCACTAGATGCAGCGAGAAAAGCTCTACATTTTGCACGCGACAGCTTGTTATAATCGTTTTGTATAAAAGCAAAATTCTCTGCGATCAATTTTCGCACGGTCGAAATTTAACCGCTCCAAATTTTGATCACTTGTAAAGTAAAAAGTGCAACTATAAAAAAAAGCGGTCTTGTGTAAATTGTAGAGCTTTTCACGCTGCATGTTATGGTATATTTTGTTTTTTTTAATACAACGTATTAAGTTGTGGAAAAATGAAATGCAAAAGTGGGACATTTATTGTGGCCCACCCGTTAATATAAATTGAAAAAAAAAATTAGCTCGAATTATTGAAAGTTGCTCTCTATGTATCGCAAAAGTCAACTTTTCTATATAAATGTCAAAACACACTGTCCAAATTACATAATAAAGCGAGAAAATTTATCGTCTCAACTGAAACCCAAAAATTGTCTTATAGTTGTAATGGAGAGCAGCCTTTCTCATTCGATCCTTACTATTATTCAAAAATTGAAATGGCAGAAAATTTGAATCAAGTTTCTGTGAATTTATTCTATTTTAACTGAAAATTTATTTCTTACTTGCCGTTTCGTTGAAGAGAAAATGAATGTTTAACAGATGATATGACTGAAAAAGATGTATGTTGCGAATTAAAATTAAATTTTTTCTAAAGAAATATTGCTAATTGTTTTATTCAGTTTATCATTATAAGTCCTTTTTCGACTTTTCTAACAATCATTGATATACATTTATCATGTTGTCATAATACGAGACAAAATGTTTCAATGTAGAAAAGGAAGGCAAAAGACAGGACGGATATGATAGCAAAATTGGCCCTATTTGAAAATTATCAAAAAACCCCACTACTTTATACCCCTTGTCTCTATTATTCGAATAGACACTGCGCTTTTTATTGTACACAGATAGCTGCTAGTATGCCCGACAAAATTGCAAAGCCATGAGGGTTTGAAATGCTTGACCAATACCTTTTAATAAAACCACAATGGTATTTCTATACATAATATATAGGATTTTGTTGGGCATAGAAATGCCATTGTGGTTTTTATTAAAAGGTATTGGCCAAGCATTTCAAACCCTCATGTCTTTGCAACTTTGTCGGGCACACTAGCAGCTATCTGTGTACAATAAACAGCGCCGGTATCTATTCAAATAATAGAGAAAAGGGGTATGAAATAGTGGGATTTTTTGGTAATTTTTAAATAGGGCCAATTTTGTTAGCGTATCCGCCCTCGTCCTTTAAAAACTTTAGACAAAATGTAGGAGACAATATATAAAAGAGATGTGTTATATGATGAAATAAACGATCACTGATATTTTTAGTAAATTTGAGTTATTCCTGCACACTTACAGTGTAAACATTACCAATACTATAGTTTTCTTCTTGAATCAATTTTGCTCCATACCAAAATCCTATTATAGAAAATACAAATCGATACATAGTGAACTAATTTGAAATAAAGGGAGAGAAAGTATACCTAATCCAAATAAACTATATAATATACACAACTGTATGGCCTTTGTAATACCATTGGCCACATTTTTTTTGATGCCACTCTTTTTAGCATCATCAAGAGATTGTTCGTACCTGAACAATAAAAATTTTTTCTTGTGCACTCAAAACAACTATGGATCTTTTGATAAATAAAGTGTTTCATAAGTTTCGACCCCATTTTTATTTTTACTTTTGTATCTGCCATATTGAAAGATGAATAGGCATTGGATATATATATCGATATATCGGCAAAATCAGGCAAAACGGGACATACGTCCTTTCAGATGACTTTGACTTTTTACAAGGATGGTTTTTCTGAATAATTTGTTTTAGTATAGACATACGTAAAAATGTTGACTCTTTCACATGCCACCTAATTATAATTAATTAAGTAATTAAGAAGTAATTAGTGAATATCTCGCTAACAATGCCAGAAAAAAAACCAAAAATTTCAGTAGATGCCTAATTTGAGTTCGAATATAAATGGAACTCTCGAAAAAAATGCCAGGACCCCCTGTTAGTTTAGTAAAAAAAATTCGAATTATAATTCGAATTATTAATTTCAGTAGTGTCAAACTTGAAACGTGAATTGAATTGAAGTTTCAACTTTCAAGTATAAAGCTTCAATGATAAAATTTCAAGATGGTCCCGTCCCACCGTCACCTGCTGTGATGATCTGTGCATGACATTCTGGGGTAGTTGTGATTACTGAAACTCCCTTCGCCGCACCCTCACCTGCTGCGTTGATGTGTGCGTGACATTTTGTACTAGTCGTGATTCTTCAAAGTGATTTCGGTTTGAAAATTGAAAATTGAAATTTATATTGAATTCAACTTTCAAGTTTCACGTAAATCAATTTCTAGTAACTGAGGTGATGCTAGTAGCAACTCAGCAGATGCTTGTAGCATCATAGATGTTCCATATAGCATCCTAGCTGTCGATTGCAGCATCATATGTGATGCTGCTAGCATCTCAGATGATCTGTAAGACACCGTCGGTGATGCTAGTAGCATCCTCGGTGATGTTAGTACACTGAAAAAAAATTGGTACAATACCGAACCAAAAAGAGTACTGTAGACGGAACAAGGTTTCGTACATAGTACGAAACCTAAAACGGTTTCGAATTCGTTGCAATTATCCGAACTATTTGAAGTTCGATACACACCACTTCGAAAAACTTGAAAAAATATCCTAAGTCAATAACAATCAGTTTCAGGCAGTCGAAGTTTTGCACGAAATCTTTTCAGGGTTTCGTACTGCCTTCTAAAATGGTTCGGTACACTGGAAAAAAATTGTATGATTACCGAACCATTTTAGAAGGCAGTAGGAAACCCTGAAAAAGCTTCGTGCAAAACTTCGGCTGCCTGAAACTGATTGTTATTGGCTTAGGATGCTTTTTCAAGTTTTTCGAAGTGGTGTGTACCGAACTTAAAATGCGCCGGATAATTGCAACGAATTCGAAACCTTTTTAGGTTCCGTACTATGTACGAAACCTTTTTTCCATCTACAATACTCTTTTTGGTTCGGTATTATACCAAATTTTTTTAAGTGTAGTATCCTAGGTGACGCTAGTAGCATCTCAGGTGATGCTAGTATCATCCTAAGTGATGCTATTAGCATATCAGGTGATGCTTATAGCATTACAGATGATAGTAGTAGCAACTGAGGTGATGCTTGTACCATCGTAGGTGATGGTTATAGCATCCTTGGTGACGGTGCTGGCATGCAAGGGCATGATTGTAGCATCCAAAGTGTTGCATGTAGCATCTCATTGCATTCCTGTAGGAAAACAGCTTCAGGAAATTTTTATCTCATTTATAAATTTATAATTCGAATTATAATTCGCATAATTTTTTTTGGTCGGATGTAAGTGCCGGCCGAATTGTTTATTTATTTATTTTCGAATTCATCCTAAGTACTACAATGTTCATTTATATTATAATTCGAATTAGGCAACTCATGAAAAATTTCAGGATGGACTGTACGACACGAACTACAGTTGGTAAAATAGTATCCGACCACCCTGTGCTAGTCTCTTGCAAAGACCTTATTCAAAGAAATACTTTAAAAAGACGGATTCTTGTGAAACTAATGTCTGATAAAGAACTTTGTTTGCTCTATCCAATGAAGGTATTTGGAGAAGAAAAAGAACATGTTTCCCAATTGAAAAAAATTTTTTGTCAGAAAGCATGAAATTTTCGGGATAAAAGAGCCGTGTCAGATTTTGTGATCCACTTGAATTAAAAAAAACAAGTATGCATTTTTGTAGAGCAGCTCACGGCGCATTGAATGGTATATAGGAAGTCGCATTTTCGTTAAGTCTTGCTGCATTCAGAATTCATATACTTCTTGTAGGCATATACTGAGTAAAAAGTATTGGAGCGTCCTGACCCATTTTCAGTATTTGCCACTTTTATTGGGTGAGAATATACACTACAAAAGTTCTGTTTTCAAATATGGATAGCCAGGCGTGTTCTGCACCGACACTAAAGAAACCAAGGTCACAGATCCTTTCTAGAACTATTGACAAATTTTTCAATATAAGAAACGGATTTTTGCGCATGCTTATCCACTGCATATCGCCAGCAGTATATGGATTCTTAATGCAGCAAGACTTGAAGAAGATGCGACTTCCTATATACTATTCGATGCGCCGTGAGGTGCTCTACAAAAATGCATAATTGTTTTTTTTAATTCAAATGGGTCAGAAAATCTGACAGAGGCTTTTTTCTCGAAAATTTCATGATTTTTGACAAAAAAAAATTTCAATTGGGAAACATGTTGCTTCTCTTCTCCAAATACCTTCATTGGGTAGAGCAAACAAAGTTCTCTATCAGACATAAGTTTCACAAGAATCCGTCTTTCTAAAGTATTTCTTTGAATAAGGTCTTTGCAAGAGAGTTGAACAGGATGGTCGAATACTTTTTTTACCAACTGTATATATCCATGGCCTCTTCACCTTTGAATATGACAAAGATGCAAAAAAAAATTAAAAATAAAAATCGGGCCAAAACTTATGAAACACCCTTTATAATACAAACCGCTGTATTTCTTTTTCTTGACCATTGTACGATAGAACAGTACGAATTGAAGTAATTACTTCTTCAGCAACCGCTCCGGCTTTTCTATATGCGTTTAGTTCAATCGTAGTCAAGCTCGTAATAAGCTATTGATAAACAAACAGATTATTCCAGCAATAATAGTTTCAGTGTAAAACTATCCTACTTTGGATGTAATTATGAATGTTGTAACTATTACTGGTAATGTGGAGAAAATAACTAATGCTAATTTCCATCCTTTGACAAAACCTATATTATGAAATGATTAAAAATTTTTCGTCTAATGAATGCTCCGATAGAAATAGCGTACCAATAATAATACAACATATAAAAATCGAAATCGTATCTATTAATGCACCAAGTTTATCACCAATACCATCACGAATTTTATTGATATCATCTGATATAAGTGTACTAAGTTCACCTGTCTTATGAGTGTCAAAATAGACAACATCTTTTTTGAGAATTGATTGAAATAAAGTTTGTCGAATAGTTCGAGTTTGTCTCTCTGCTGTTATATTAAAAGCTGTTACTCGAATATAACCACATATAATAATAACACAACCGATTACTATGAAAAATATTATTTGATTTTTTGTTTGGTCTTTGAGATCAAAACTAATATTGGTAAAGTTGGATCCAGTAAAATTACACAATCTAAATATAATTCATTATCTGTTTTATAAAAATTTTATGGGAATGATCTTACGACATTGATGCATAAAAGTTAATCGACGTCAACATGACACCTGGTGGACAGTATTCTTGAGTAAGAGAGGTGAAATTGAGTGAACATAAATTAGTCTCTCGATCAGTAAATGAATCGATCGAATTACCAAAAACAACGAAAAATAAAGGATTAGTAGCACCAAATGCTGCAGAAGTAATGATTGCCAATAACATGTAAAGTAAATCAGCAAAAGTAGCATATCGAAACTAAAGAGTAAACAAAAGCATAGATCAATCAAAGAATTATTTAATGTTCTTTTACCAAACTTCGAATGCTCACTGCTTTAGTTGGTTTTCTATTTTGCTTTTTCATGTGAAATCGTTGCCAAAAATTGACTTTCATAGATTGTTCTTCCTTCAAAGAATTCATTCTGTAAAAAATGACAAAAAAAGAAAATTTTAATCTAAATGATTATCTTTCATACTTCTTATCTAGCATTTCACTCGGTTCTACATGATTCATATTTCCATTTGCTGTCGTTTTATTCGAATGTTGGTTATCAAACATTGCACCGTTCTATTTTTAGATGATGAATATAAAATAATGGATCAGATTCGTATTTTTTTTACGTTATTTCTTTACTGTTATATCTTTTCTTCAAAGAGGCTCGTATTTATATCAAACTTGACTATTGACAAGTAGGCACGACAGGCGAAAAAAAATAATTATGATTCTTCTAGTTATTTACCATAACAAGCAATCAGAATGAAATATAGAAACATGAATAAAACAGTTGAATGATCATAATTGCTTCTCACTATCATGTCAATTGTAATAATTAATATAACGATGTGCATATTTATCGATAACATATTTCCAATTGACAATTAGTGAGGTCGAATATAATAAACAACATTTTTATTTTAAACAACTTAGAGAAAAGAACACAAAAAAAGAATGAAAAAACTTATTCAGATTCAACAGCTTCTTGATAAGTGGTTAGCGAGATAGATTCAACAAAAATATTTTCATTCTCGAATTATTGACTTTGATTATAAATAGTTTTTTTTAAATTAAAAACGAACCTGAAATAGAATATTAAGAAAAATGCTTTGTCTACAAAGTTTTAATGATTTAAATGTTAAAAACTACATTTAAAACGCATGTACCCAGGTAGAACAATCCAGCAAGAAAACAGCCGGTTCCAGGATTTTCCTGGGATTTCATGGAAGCAGTACTCCGGGACGAAATTCTCCGGATTTTTCCGCTTTCTTTCTTGTCATTTCCGACCGAAACAGGAGGGAAATTCAAGGAAAAAATCGGACAATTTTGATTTAAAATCCGAATATTCGGTTCCTCAACGGAAACGATTGCAACCGACTTGGTTCCCAACAGATTGTGTACGTTCAATTTCCGTACGGCTTCCCATCGACGTTTCCGAGTTACTTCCCGTCACCTCCTGAGCCTGGAAACAGTCTATGGCTACAGTATGCGTATTCGCCAGGGTGCCCCGCTTATGTTTCAACAACTTAAACTAACAACAGAGCCGGGATCATATCTTACCACCCTAGGCGAACCTTTTTTATCATGCACTTGACCTGCATAGACCTCAAGTTTTGCCCATAGCGCATGACTTTCTTGATCAAGATTCTCAAGTATCTCCTGCGCAGACCAAAAGAAGTTCGTCTAGGGCAGGTTCCCAGTTGTTGCCGAACTTCAGCTTCGTCCATCCAAAATGCCAAACGAATGTGGTTTCCAGCGCAATCCTCCCAATCCCATGATACTAGTGACGTAAAGTTTGTTACTCGTTCCCTTTATTGCCAGGGAACGAACACCTACTCAGCACTATACAAAAAGAGAAAAACCCTCCAGGAATCTGATTGGTCCATTTTTCGACCAATCAGATTCGAGACAAGGTCAGTATTCAGCAGGGTTGCCA